CTATCCCCAATCATCACATCTGCAAGTGATATATATACTTACTGATGTATCCAGCATCTGGGACGCCTTCCGCGCCCAACACCCTCTCCTCACCATCATCGACCCGACCACTCAATCCCGCATCGTCCGCAGTCTCCTCGACACCTACCGCCACGAAGGCTGGCTCCCAGACTGCCGCATGAGTCTCTGCAAGGGCTGGACACAAGGCGGCTCCAACGCAGACGTCGTCCTCGCCGACGCCTTCGTCAAGAACCTTACAGACATCGACTGGGACCTCGCCTACGAAGCAATGGTCAACGATGCCGAGAACGAGCCCCTAGAATGGTCCTACCAAGGCCGAGGCGGGCTCCAAAGCTGGAAGACCCTAAACTACATCCCCTACCACGACTTCGACTACCTGGGTTTCGGCACCAACTCGCGCAGTATCTCCCGGACATTGGAATACGCATACAACGACTTTTGCGTCGCGACTGTCGCCCACGGGCTGAACAAGACAGACGATTACCTGAAGTATCTTGCCAGATCGACCAACTGGAAGAACCTGTTCAAACCTGACCAACGCTCCTTCTTCCCGAATGGAACTGATACGGGGTTCGTCGGCTTCTTCCAACCCAAGTACCGTAATGGAACGTGGGCACATCAGGATCCGATGGATTGTAGTCCTCTCGCTACGGGGCCGACGTGGTGCTCGTTGACGAGTAATCCGTCGGAGACGTTCGAGTCGAGTATTTGGGAATATCAATTGTATCATACCCCATACCCCATACCCTAACCCTCCCCTTCACATATCCCCAACTAACGATATAAACAACTGGAATAGCTACGTCCCCCACGACCTCCCCACTCTAATAACCACCTACCTCTCGGGCCCAACCTCCTTCACATCCCGTCTATCTACCTTCCATTCCACAGCGCTAGCAGACTACAGCAACGAACCCGTCTTCCTAACCGTCTACCAATATCACTACGCCTCGCGCCCCGCCTTATCCTCGCGTCTCATCCACACCCTCATCCCATCGGTATTCAATACCTCCTCGTCCGGTATCCCCGGCAACGACGACTCCGGGGCAATGGCGGCGTTCACGGTGTTTGGACTCATGGGATTGTTTCCGAACCCGGGACAGAATGTGTATTTGATTTCGGCGCCGTTTGTGCAGGAGGTTAGGGTTAGGAATGGGGTTACGGGGGGTGTGGCGGTGGTGAGGGTGAGAGGGGATGTTGGGGTGGGTGTTGGGGGGAAGGTGGTGAAGAGGGCGTGGTTGGATGGGGAGGTGTATACGAGGTGTTGGATTGGGCATGAGTTTTTTGTTAAGGGGGGTGTGTTGGAGGTGGAGTTGGGGAGTGGAGGGGAGGATGAGGAGGAAAGTGAGTGGGGGACGGGGGTGGGTGAGGGACCGCCGAGTTGGGGGGGTGGGTTGGAGGTGTAGTTGTAGTTGTTGTAGATGCGTTGGTGAATGAGGTTGGGACTTGGAGGGTATAGATGGTGATGGTGATGTTGTGGAGTGTTGAGTAACCACTCTGTTGGAGTGAAGCACTAGTCCAGAGGTTACAATGAATGGTAATTTTTGGATTCTATATAAGTATAGTAGGTTTATAAGAGGATAGTAGTCAACAACAGCATCAATTTATAGGACTAGTGGTATGATATCAACTATATAGCCTCCCCTTCACTGGCATCGTAACATCAAACGAGGTGAACGTGCAATGACCATAATCTTCCTGACCACCTCCACCTCCACCTCCAGCTTCAATCATAGACCTCGTCTCTACACCCGTATCCAAATCCACCTGTACAAACTGATCTATCCCACCAACCTCGCCCCACGCAACGGCCTTAAGCCCCGCATCATCATCACCATGAGGAGGATGACACGCAGCACTGATCGCCGCACTACAATGCGCCGCGATCGGCATCCGGGAGCGAAACTTCTTCATTCCCAGTGCCAACAGCGAGAAAAATGACACACCCTCCAAGATAGTAATGATAAAAATAGCGATAGGAGAGAAGCCGCAACCCTTGATAGAGCTGTTCGTATCCTCATGGCCGAAAACATCATACACAGTGATGTTGACGTAGAAGAAGCTTTCAGAAAGCAGCCAGTGCAGGGCAACAGACATGATGAAAAGCGGGATGCTGTAGCGGTAAGGCAGGGCGAGGTAGTACGTTGAGCGTTGTTGGCCGCGAGGCCAGGAGACCCGGAGGGGTTTGCGGTCGATGGCATAGTCATTGTATTCGGCCGTGACGAGCATGCAGGAGAGGAGACTGTTGGTGGTGAAGTAGATGATGGAGAAGACTAGTTGGGGGGTGTTGCTTAGGAGGACGAGGGCGATCATGTTGTCTCCTGAAAAGCGGATACTGGTTTGGGAGCTGGCGGAGCCGAATCCCAGGCTCCATTGCTCGGAGAGGGACCAGCCGTCTCCCTCGATGATTAGGTCGAAGTATATCAAGTAGGAGATGAGGAAGCAGACGGCGAACCTGTACGTTTGGGTTAGTTTGTGAGGATATGCGAGGCATGGGGCACGGACATGAATACTATACTCGCCCAGCGGCACAGACTGGCCGCTCGAAACCATCGTTTTCGACGTGGTAGCATCCTCGGGGCGGTTTCTGAAGACTCTGCCTGCTCCAAAATGCGACGGTTTTCCATAGGAATGTCTGTCTGGTTTTCTGGGTCACGGCGGATCCTCTTTCGTATGAACTCCTTCCATCGGGGGAATGGCTCCCATCGATGCGGTCCTCGAGCCATATCAGCCCGGGACATCAGACAACGGCCCTTAGTCGTGGGATCTGGATGGGCGAGGAAGGACGATATGGCATCTCCTACTCGCAAGAAGATCTCAGAGCGGTCCGTTTTGGCAGTCAAGTACATGCAGACTACCTTGGTGAGGTTGAACAGAATCACGGCCAGCGCAATCGAGGGACTGAATAGAAGCCGACACCGCTGGGTCATGGTTTTTTCCATACAGTAGGAGATGGGGATTTCCGAGGTATCAACAGCAATTGTTCGTTTAGTCCATTCCAGCCCCTTGGTCGTCCACTTCCCTTCATCAACTAACTTCTCGACGTTGCTTTTTCCCACATCCTTGACGTAGTCATATACTGATGAATAGTCCCATTGGAGACTGCTTGAGTTGCCAAAGTACTGTCGCTCAGCCACTAAGATCAGGGTTCCGAGATGCGTATTGTATTCCACATCATACTTCTTCACGCACTCAGCGTTACTCAGATTCTGAAAGGTACCGTTGAAGATTTCAGTCTGAATCAGCTCCGGCGTGCTGCCAATGGCTTTCACGAAGGCGCTCCTCCCACCCGCGCCGACCAAGGACTCAGTCGGCGTTAGATCATCAGGAATGAGCATTGTGCCATAATCGAGCGCAGAGATAGAAGAAAATACCACCGAGTTATATCTGGTACGCAAGTTAGTGATGGCAGGGTAGGCGTCACTATGACTAACATCATGTGAATAGGAACTGAGCTGAGAAGTAAAACCAGCCAAATAATTTTCCGCTTGATACTCATGGCTCGAAAGTTTCGAAAGCTCATCACCCCAATATCCAGCCAACGGCGTTTTCGATGAGCTTTGTCGACATCTGTACGGGATGGTCCCGACACGCATTGCATGGCGTAGTTGCTGGCTTCGAGGAGGGTGGTGGACAAGAGGTTAATGACAACATGGATGCCCGTTGCCCATCTACTGGACAAAGTGCAATTCCCATTGTACAGTTCAGTGCTAAGGAAACTATGCGAGTTGGCGCTTTGGGAGTAGCTGATGCCAATGGCAATGAGCGCTAGCAGGATGTTCAGAACCCAGATGCCTCCGGCGGCCCATGTACCGAGGAGGACACCATGAATCCACTCCTCGTCGGGATGTGCAGCAGACGATGAAGTTCGGGATGAAAGGAGCGTTGCATATTTGGCACGGACTGGCCATTTCCAGGCTTCGGATGATTCAGCATCATTGCTTGGTGGCTCGTGTCCGTTCCATAACGTTTTGATCCTCATAATGAGCCAGGAGAATACAAGAGCACAAGTCAGATAGCCCTTTCATTTTTCGGTACTTTAGCCACGCTATCTTTGCATATGTATTTATGTTTTTAATAATTTTATCATTTCTCGACTTGTCCGAGAAAACGCCTCCTGGCTTAAATTTGGTGCACATTGACCAAGCCCAACAGTGCTAGTATTGGTCGGCCCGGCGTTCCGATTGGTGCTGCGGCCTGAAGACGCGTATACAGGAGCTAGAAACATGCTTAGCATGTAGTAGCTCGAGCTATGACTGCGGGTATTACAGCAGTTCTTGCTCGACGGGGCTGAAGTGGGTCGAGTAGCGAGCGCTAGACAGTTTTGAACAAGTCCGAATCTTCGCCCAGTTAGCATAATTGTCGCCAGTGATTTGTTTTTTTATCACATCTAGTGATTTCCTATATTTAGTATATATCCATTGTGTGCTTGCTGTGTGAAGTTCAAAGGCATACTTTGAGTCTGCTTGGGGTGGGTCAGCGGAGTGGACGCGGATCAATAATTCCACTCAAGAAGAATACTGAAACCCACCCGGACTCAGCACCTATTTGCCAAATGAGATAATATAATAGGAGCCCAGGGTAATGCAGTAACAGTCAAGGGTCAACAAATGAACTGTATGCAGTTGAAACAAGATGTAAGCTTGAAGCTATTAGTGTCTAATAAGATCACTCCCTAATTAATTAAGGTTGTGGGATGTCCAATTTGGTTGGAACATTTCCTTCAGTTGGTAGTCTTCTTAGTGCCTTGCTTCAAGTTGACTATATTTGGACTGCTACCTGTATGTTATACCGTTCGGTTGGGATGACCGCCAACGCGACGTCACTTGATAGGAAGATAACGAGAAAATACTATAAGTATTGACTTTTTCGATGTTAATGTCAGTTAGGAGGGTAGAGCACATGCTGTTCTTATCTGGCTAAACTCATTCTATGTGCCTCTAATCTGGCGGGGACGGCATCAGGCTGTGTTATCCACACTAAACATGTTGCAGGTGAGCATCCGTTCGGGCGACCGGTGGCCAGTCACGGTGTTTCATCATATCAACAGGTGGCACGGTTGTCGTGACCCCCGCTTGCGAAGGATGAAGCCATAGCGATTCTGTGTGAAAGTGCGGCTCGCTACTTCGGCCCTGTGGGAAGGTGGTAAACGTGATGGAGTATACGGGGTGGTCAGCCGTCGTTGCCGGAGTTGGGCTGATAACAAAAGTGTAGATGCGGGCGTGATCTGGGGGAAGCATTTCTTTATATATTGCACCCTCCTCAAGCTCCATGATCCGTGTGCAGACGGCGTGATAGTTCGGGGTATAAAAGATCAGTTCTTGCTTCGGAATCCGTTGTAGAAGATCCAGGGCTCGACGGCGAAGGTCCGGCCAGCGGCATTTCCAGGCGACGGCCTGCAACGGATACAACAGCTGTACGTCCAGATTTATCGTTTTGGAGACATCATCCGGGTAGTGGTCTGAGTCACTGAGCAGACGTTCGGCAATTGAGACAATATCCTCGTAGGCAGCGCGGAAGTCATCCCAGCCGGATTCATTGGCCACACGATACCGATCAAGTCCTAGACGGTAACAATACCATAACATGCGAGTAGCATCAATCTCGTTTTTTATGGCCGGTCCGCATTCCGACTGCTTCTCTTGCACTAGCAATTCAAAGCTTGCCGCCCAGCGATGGATGGCATGCTCAAAAGTTTCGGTCCATTGCTGCACGGGTGAGTGCGGGAGGTTCGTCAGTCTGGCCAACTCTTGCCGGTTGGGGAATTCTCCGATGTAGTAAAGCATCAAGTCGAGAAGGGCGATGCGTGCCTGATGGAATGTTCGGAACCGCCAGTTCAATAAGAGCTTGCCTTGAGCATCCACGGGATTGACATGTACTTTTTCTTGTGGCGCACTGACGAGGTGTTTGAGTGCCGACATTTCGTACGTATTCAAAGAAAAAAAGTTCAATATAGGGGCCAATTCAGCATCCACCCAATGTGTCTGAGAACTCTTGGTGCAGCAGGATCGCTCTCGATGCGCCCGCCAGGACCGCACCAGATTCAGCCCGCTTGTAATATGCGATGTAACCCCAGTAGCATTTCCTCGGAGAAACTCGAGGGACGCGAACAAAATGCTGGCTGCTATGACTAGAGGCACCGCGTCTATGCCTGATGAAACCTTATCAATGGTAGTGCGAATGGCCCGGTTGTAAAGATGTAGTGCCAAGTCGGACTTGGAAGATTGCCAACGGTGTGCCATTGCCGGAGTCGTAGACATCCCCTCTGCTTCATACAGAAACCCAATCGCAGCAATAGCTTGGCGGATCGTAGGTTCGGTCAGGCTGAGCTGTAAAACCGTGCGGGTCCAGAACGAAGCAGTGAAGTAACCAGCTAGATGCGCTGCAGACTTGCGAAAGAAGAACTCGAGGGCTCGGGACTCAGCCGGACTGACAAACGCAGTTACTTGCGCCAACTGCTTCGCGATGCGTATCGAATAAGGCATGGGCATATAGCCATCACATTTCCGGTTCGTACTTGTACATCTATCCGGGAGGTTAGTGTGGGGTTTCCACAGCAAAGGCGTCATCCCAATGTTTGCATACCGAAGACAAGCCGGCTTGCGCTCATCACATTTGACGCGACGGATCCTGCCGTGGCCGCCAAGTGAAGGGTTAGCAGACTGACCCAGAAGAGCAGGTAGACAGAAGGTTTCTCGCTCACCGACATGTAATGCAGCCCTTCCGCGACCTGGTAGATCCAAACCGTTGCCGCTGGTGCGGGGAGGAGTCCTCCGCATTCATTCTTGTGGAAGAGCTGGAAGATCTGAGCAGTCACGTTCAGATTAGAGGACCACTGGTACCATGCACCTTGGATTTCCTTCTGGCTGATTTGTGTTCTGCAATGCTCAACCTGCTCAATGGCCCCCATAAACTGCCGTCACGTGGTCTTGACAGGGATCTGGCCGCATTTCGGACGTTGACTGGATGAATGGGCTGCTAGTCACCCGTAGTGGAAGACCGGGCATCTGAGCCCCACTACTCGTTCAAAATGAGGATATGCCCAATGAATTCCTGCTAAAAATGCTTTGCGACTAGTGATGAACGGTCATCTTGCACGTAGGGATGCTGTGAAGATGTAAAGCAGCAGGTGGTACCACCTCGATATAAATTGATGTATAACAGCCTCGAGTTGTTTCGAGAACACCCATTGGAGATGGAAGCAGGACGTATGAAAGAGAAAGTCTGTTAATCATAGTATACAAGTAAGACTATAAGTGCCAGATAGAAGGGTACGGTGTAGGACGGTCAAGGCTGGAAGATCTTCCTTCCCTCGTGAAGCGACTCGGGGTCCTGAGTGGGGTCGATAAGTTGCTGCTGCCTTGGACTGTATAGGAGCCTAGTTTAAGATTCTCGAGCTGACCTGACGGTTCAGTAACAGGACTCTTAATCACTTATGAAACAGGCATCCACGCGGATAGAAGAAGACCATCCGCATTGCAAATGAATGGTCCTTGTGGACCAGTTCCATCTAAGAATAACATAATTTGTACAACTAAAGTTCCACAGGATCCGCCCATGTCAGGTACATAGCTGAGTAAGCAGTTTACCACCAATCGGCAGCCTTGTTAGATAAGCTGACACCGGCAGAACCTGCCACAAAGGCCACAGGCCCGGCACCAGCTTCCATTCCCCAAACGGCGAGACCCGATCCCGATGGATGGTGGATAGACAGTCGGGTTACCCGCAGCTTATGTTTCTCTTATTTCCATCGTTCCATCTCCAGCAGCCATTTTCTATCATACTTCTGTCATTTAGGCTTGGTCTATCCGCTGCACTGATCCTCTTGTTATCGGATTGTGTGCTGTGGTCATTGTGATTATTCTCACCCCACGCACTACTAGTACTGCTTAACCCATTCATTACAACCAAAGACTACCAGTACTATCGTCGCGCAGCTTCTACCTTAACCGGAACTAGATAAGTCTTGCCCTTGACGAACTACGTCATTCCTCTTCCGTGCCTGGCACTCTTCCGAATGCCCTCCCGCCGCAGTCATACCAAGTCCCGGAAGGGTTGTCTCCAATGTAAGAAACGGCATGTGAAGGTCTGACTTCCTCTCTTTTATCTCCATTCTCTTCTCCCTGGTTCGCTACCTCTTCCCGCTCCCCGGATCGGCAGTTTACACACCATCACAGTCGTCGGTATAATTACACTATACATGCTGTTTCCATTCCTTCCAGCAGTATCATGCATGCTATTGGTCTCATGCTGACCCACGGAGTAGTGCGACGAAGAGACACCACGATGTGGCCTGTGCAAGAAACGAAGACTGGATTGCACATACCCACCGTCAAGTGAAGCGGATAGCCAGCATGCATCCACACCCCAGGATATGCCTGATGTATTTACTGGTCCCGAAGGAGAACCGCAATCAGACAGAATGCTTGAGATGAAACTATTCCACCACTATGTAACAGAGACATACATCACACTCTGTCAAGGCCGTCTAGATGCTCACCACTTCCAAGTGGTTGTCCCACGGATCGCGGTCTCTCATGCCTTCTTGCTGGACAGCCTACTAGGATTGTCTGCTCTTCATCTAGCGTACCTGAACACTCACGATAACCGTTCATGGCTAGAAATCGCACTCAAGTATCAGAACCGAGCATGTTCAGCATTCACCCGTGTACTTGCAGAAATGACACCTGAAAATTGCGCACCAGCCTTCCTGTGCTCCATCTTCATTATGCTCTGCGCAACAGCCTATCCGTGTGTTACCCAGGACAAACATACATTCGAGCCTCTATCCCATGTTTTGGAGATTCGACAGCTCATAGCGGGCTGTGCGTTTCTTTTCGAGCAGCTTAGCGGCATGGAGTATCGGGGCGACCTCCAGGGGTGGCTGAAGTATAAGGATGACGAGGTCGACCAAGATGGAAATCCCTACCAGTACTTGCCTGCCCTCTTTCTTTCGATGACGACAGGATGCTAATATATCCCTAGTGTACAGGAATCTCAAATCAAACTACGCAGGTATGTCTCTAGAATCTCCGCGGGAACTTAGTCAAGTAATGCTAACAAATACAAGTGCCATCATGGAGTCTTTGCAGCGGGTGCAAGACAAATTCACCAGCCTTGGTGGGCCGAACCAGACTACATACCAAAATACGTGGGATATTCTTCATGAAGCCATCAAACGATGGCCGTTCGGTGGCCCAAACGGTGGCATCATTGCGTGGCCCATAAACATCAGCGAAGACTACATTGCTCTGCTGAAAAGTGGAGACTGGGTGGGCCGCGTGCTATTTCTACACTACGGGGTAGGATTGCACCTTCTCTCTGACAAGTGGTTTGTCCGCGACTGGGGCCGGCGTCTTATTGAAACAGTCCTGCAATTGGAGGAAGATATCCCCCCCATTTGGACGGAAACCATTACATGGACAAAGGAGGCCGTGGAGCTCTAAAGGTGACAGAGGCACACGGAAATCTGTTGCGGATGGGCTCTGCTATATACGGGAGGAAAGCGCAGATAGCGACAATGATGTGACACTATCAAGTAGTCAAAAGTCAAAGCAAAGATGTGAGGTAAGGGTTTCTGTCAAGTCTATGGGCGATTACATACCATGACTCGACAATCCGGGGAACCTCAACGAGCTTGGCGTGATCCCTGCACTTCAATTGGAGAGGTCACGGTTCGGCTCATTACGGTGAGCAGGCCGAACCCGGCCAGCGTTATCGCGTGACTTGGGCCCGCGGGTGGCGGCTGACTTCCCGTTGGCGGAACCGCCCTCGATAAGCACGACCCAAGAATGCGGAGTCCCAGTCATGACTCTTGATTGCAGGCGGGCATCCACAATCCCTCGCTGCTTATCTCGGCCAGGGCTGTCCCAGATATGGCTGGGGTGAAGGCTTTCCTCATTTCTTATTTCCCTGCGTTCGCTGGGGCTGGTTCTTCCCCCTCCCTTGTACTTTCTTAGGGTAGTGTATCTGCTAATAGGGCGTCCTCTTAACTCTGGCGGAAAGGCTCACAAGGGCTCTCCCATGCTGATCCTCCGACCTGCTAAGTCTCGCGGACGTATCTACCCTGTCGCTTTGACCCTCCCCATCCGACTTTGTACTTCTTTGCAACATGGAGACCTATCAGCCAAAGAAAAGTTCGAGCCAAGATGCGGAGAAGCAGGTATTTAGACCGAGTCGCTCTGTCGACCCTCTTTCGTGCAACCTTGCGCGATTATTGAATTGTGTTTCTAACCCGCTCTGTTCCTACAGCCACTTCTCGAAACCTGGGAGACCCCGGCTGAGCGATCGCAGTGGACCTTGTTACATGACAAGCGACCCAGCGCTTCAACTATGTTCCGCCTTGCGAAATTCACGATATTGTCGACGCTACTCCTAACCATAATAACGATACATCTGCCAAGTGTGCTCACCTCGCCTCTTGAATTTGCGACTAGCCGGCTTGACCGAGCGAGTAAATTGGAGGATGGGAAGCGCGGTGCAGTGGCGAGCGAAAGTGCTATCTGCAGTCGCCATGGAACAGATATTATAAACATGGGGGGAAATGCAGCTGACGCGGTGAGAACGATCCAGCCGATCTGTCGTCATTTGGCGCCCTGCTGACTTCAGTCTCAGATGGTTGCAACAATGCTCTGCGTTGGAACTGTTGGTGAGTTGGCCTACAATAACTGGAGAAGTGCTTGGACCTGATGTTAGCTGGAAGGCATGTACCATAGTGGAATCGGAGGAGGTGGGTTCATGCTGGTCAAGACCCCTGAAGGCTCTTTCGAGGCCATCGATTTCCGCGAAACTGCCCCGGCGGCCGCTTTCCAGGATATGTTTGAGAATAATACGAAGGCTTCCGTCAGCGGGGGCCTTGCAAGGTGAGCCCTCTTACGCTCTTGGATGTTGCAATAATTAATATAATCGAAGTGCCGTTCCTGGGGAACTGCGTGGTCTCGGGTATCTCCACAACAAGTATGGCTCGCTCCCCTGGTCAACTGTTGTGCAGCCCGCCATTCAAACCGCACGGGAGGGGTGGTCAGTCGGGCATGACCTGGTCCGCTATATGAAAGCTGCTGTTGGGGACGACGAAGACTTCCTATCTCAGGACTCTACCTGGGCGCTCGACTTTGCTCCCAATGGAACCAGGCTCGGTCTGGGTGATACCATTACGCGAAAACGTTATGCGGCCACACTGGAGACCATCGCAAACGAGGGCCCCGATGCCTTCTACTCTGGATCGATTGCAAAGACCATGATAGATGCGGTACAGAAAGCTAACGGTACAATGACGCTTGAGGACTTGGCCAATTATACGGTCGCTATCCGCAACATCTCAGAAATTGATTACCGCGGCTATCGGATTACTAGCACCCCAGCCCCTTCCAGTGGTATCGTAGCTCTGAACGTTCTCAAAGTTCTGGGTACTTACGATAACCTTTTTAGTCCGGATACTCTGAACCTGAGCACTCATCGATTGGACGAGGCTATACGGTTTGGATATGGATTGGTACGCTTATCCCCTCTAGTTAGCTAGTAGCCAGCTGAATCAATGGAGGCGATGCTAATTTGTGATATAGAGGACTAATCTAGGAGACCCGTTCTTCCTCGATGGCATGGACACGTATCAGGAAATGATGCTAGCGGATTCCACCATTGAAGAGATTCGAAAGAACATTTCCGACCAGCATACCCAAGCCGTGTCTGCCTACAATCCGCAGGGATATGAGAGTCTTGAAACGTGGGTGAATCTTGATGGTACCATGGTATTATCAGACAACTGACCTAAGTAGACCGGGTACCTCGCATATTGCTGCCATTGATCACAGTGGGCTTGCCATTTCCGCGATCACGACCATCAATCTGCTTTTTGGCTCCAAAGTCATGGTTCCTGAGACTGGTATCATAATGAATAATGAGATGGATGGTATGCTTCATATTTGCTCCCGCTCACCCCAGTTACTGACTTATTTATTGAGACTTTTCTATTCCTAATTCGTCCAACTCCTTTGGCTATGTTCCTTCCGAGGCAAACTTCATACGACCCGGGAAACGACCACTGTCCTCTTGCACTCCGGCCATTGTTACCCATCCTAACGGAACAGTGTTCTTCGTCGCCGGCTCGGCAGGAGGTAGTCGGATTATCACTGCCACCATCCAGAACATTATACACACCGTCGACGAAGGTCTTTCAGCGGCAGAAGCCTTGGCCCAGCCGCGCCTTCACGATCAACTGGTCCCGAATCGTGTCACCTTCGAGTACGATTATGACAATGAGACCGTGTCCTTCATGGAGGCAAGAGGTCACAATGTGACCTGGGTAGGTCCAGGGGAGAGCACGGCGCAGGCGATTCGAGTTCTACCGAATGGAACCTTCGATGCTGCAGGGGAGCCTAGACAGGCTGATTCTGGAGGGTTTGCTGTTTGAGGGATCTATAATGCATATGTCCATCCTGACTACACATATATGAGGGTTTTATGAGCGATACCTTCTGTCTTGCATTTACAGTTTTGGACTTGAGTTGCAGCGAGAGATAAAGTATACATATAGCATTAGACTTGAATATCGAAACGAATTATGACAATATCCGAGGCAGGTATGTACTGCTAATATTATATACGACGCAAAGAAACGTCTACTTGACTGCCCCGCATGGTATCTCCGCACTTTGTTGCGGTATGGACAACCCTACCCAGACACATCACGACGTGTGAATACTTCAAAGAAGTAGAGCAGTACTTCGTACGCCGACTACAGTCCCTGCAGCCCACCACCCCCTTTCACTCCTCGAGTCGATCGGTCTGATGCGAGTCTGTAACAGATGCAAGGACCTGACATGGAAGGGGCGGGACACATCAGATGGCGGGCGTGATCTATCAGAGGTGGCCCGTGCGCTGCCCGGGTTCCGCGTCGGCGCGCGCCAGCAGAATGAGGAATGTGTGCTCTGTTCCACTGGCTTCCAGTTCACCCTCACCTTGTGGTCGTCGGTTGTGAATGACTGGAGATTCTATCGTCTTCGCCGATTGGATAAATGGCTTAAAGCCTTATCATTAAGAAATCCCCAGAAAGGCTTTCGTCGTGTTGGATTCGCTCACTCTTTCGCGGTCGATGTGGCTGCTCTAGCTTGCGCATATGGCTATTGGAGTTGCGAGGTTTTGGATATGGTGGATTGGTGTTACTCCTGTGAGTGGATCTCCTGCAGATAGATGGAGAGAGGTATGGCCTACTCATTCACTAATCAATTCACTCCCTGTGTTAGTCTTTTGACTCTTCCTTCTCGATTTCCTGACCATGCGCCTCTATTCCTACAATCTATTTCAACAAACCGCTGCACTCTTGTTATACACACTCAGTCGGCATCTACCAAACGGAGCTTAGCAGATAGACCGTCAATAATATACAACGCAGCCATGGCAGGTGGCAAAGGAGTCTCCACGTTCCCTTTGGTCCGGATCTCGCCTCCGCATATCAACGTCGACCTCCACAATTCATTCGATGAAGTGACCCAACGCACGGTGGATCAGATACTTTCAGACGAGGCAAGCTTTGAGAACAGCTTTGACGATTATAGCGGAAGCGATGGTATAAACGGAGAGGATGACATGACACAAAGCGGGGGTCACCACACCTCGGCATTTACCGCTGCTACGCAATCTGCAAACGTGGACTCGCCTTACTTTCCAAGCAAGAAGCGCTCGAAGACCCAGAAGGCGGCACAGAGACACATCAGTCGTATGGATTCGAATGACGAAGAAAACGATACCGAGTCTAGTACGAGTGTAGTTGGGCCTAATGGACACACGATCGTCGATGATGGCGAAACTCTGGATGACGCCTCCGAGGAGGACATCGTCTTCGCGTCTGTGGACCTAGATAAGAGGATGGAACTGCTTACCTTCATCAGCTCACACCCGTTCATGAAGAAAGGCGAATATCCTGTGCTACGATCTGCGCGACGAAGCTTCGTTCGTGAATTACGTCGAAAGAGTCGATCGCTTGGTATGGAAGAGGCTGATCTTGGAAAGCTCGTTGCATATGTCAGAAAGATCTACCTTGAGCTCTATGGCAATGGCCAGATGAGTCTGGATGGTTCTGGATTCGGCGAGGAGATCAAGGATGAGCAAACAAGCCCACCGAAGTCTTTTAATAAGGACAACAAGAGGAAGCGAGGCGCCGGCAATGACCAGGGGGCAACATCGAAACAGGAGGAGAAGAAGACTACATCGAAGAAAAGAAAGTCGCTCGAGCCCATCACCAATGGACACCGTAAAAAGCGTGAAGCTGATGGACCGGACGCGAACCATTCGACCTCGAAGCCTCCCGCGTCTCATTCCAAGGTCAGCCGGGAAAGGACCACAGATGCCGCTAAGGGCATGCCGGCAATTATTATTGATCTATGCCCGGGTGGTAACAAAAGTCCCGAGCCAGTCACCACGCAGAATGTCCCCGTCAAAAACCCAATTGCTGGACAGGCCGAAGATAGACATAATGATGGGAATCACAGACTTCCATCACCGCCACATTCTGAGGAAGGATACAAACAAAGCTCCGTTGAGAAAAAGACCACTCAATCCGAGGAGGCGAATCCTGAATTGCTCCCATCGCAGAAAGCATCGATCAAAAGGTCCATGACACTTCACTTCTCACCGAAATTCCCAGGCCAGCACACCGTTCGTGATTCGGAAGACGAGGATGACGAGGATGAGGAAAATAAGACTGGGTCATCTCAGACTGTTTCAACGAAAGACGAAATCCCCTCGGCTACGCAAGCCAAGCAGCCTGAATCCCTGCAGAGCGATATAACGCAGCATCCCGATCGTGTGCTGTCCAAAAAAGAAAAGAATAGAAGGAAGCGTGATAATCGCAAACAGCGAAAGAAGAAACATTTTCGCGCAAGCCTTACGAACACTGAACATGTCGCATTGACGACGAGTGCAGATGACATTCAACAAGGCCGTGATTCTAAAGCAAATCAAGCAGCAAATCCCAATACCATAGAGGTCGATGATCTTTCTATCTTGGACGAGGCATTCTGGAATCTGGAGGATTTTTAGATACCAATGATTCGCAAAGTTCAACCACCAGCGATGAGGTGAGGTCGAAGTATTTCATCGCCCCCCAGAAATTGAAGGAAGGGAATGTACATTGCGAAGAGAGAAGAAATACCCACTCAGAGAATGTTCTTGGTCGGATACCCGAAGAAACCCGAATTCTCCTATCCAAGCTGAATCTTTCATCGGATTTCCTTTCTACTGATTCAGACTTGAGTGATGTACCTAGCGGTTTCGATAATATTTCACTTGATTACTCTCTCGATGTCTCACCTAGTCAAACACAGCGTGCAACAGAGGCTGTAGAGCCAAGCACGCCGACTAAAGCAACATTAATAGGGGCTGCTCCTGTGCTGCCTAGAACACCGCGTCTGAGGCCTCAGAAGATATCCCCATACTTTCCCAAACCTCTGGTCGACCCTGATTCATGTCTTCCGTTTCCGCCCATCGATGCTCCATCATTCGGCTTGGTACAAGAGCAACTTGCCCATGATCCTTTCCGTCTATTGATTGCCACCATTTTCTTGAACCGTACTCGCGGGGGCGTTGCGCTTCCAGTGCTTTTCAAAGTGTTTGATCGGTTCCCAACGGTGGAGGCGATGGCATCGACGGACCCATCCACCCTGGCATCTATGATACACTGCCTCGGATTTCAGAACCAGCGAGCGAAAAAGTGCGTTACACTAGCCCAGACCTGGTTGGCCTTTCCACCTACGCAAGGAAAGCGCTACCGCAAACTTCACTATCCCTGCAAGGGAGACGGACGTGATATCGGCGCCGATGAGACCATTGCAGATGATGACGCTCGCGTGGGTTGGGAGATTGCTCACCTTCCTGGTGTCGGGCCCTATTCTTTGGACAGCTGGAGGATCTTCTGCCGTGACGAACTCCGGGGACTTGCCTCGGATTGGAGAGGCCAGGGAGCTTCCAAGACGTCTTTCAGTCCTGAGTGGAAATCAGTGTTGCCGCAAGATAAAGAGCTACGGGCATACTTGACATGGATGTGGTTGAAGGAGGGTTGGGTGTGGGATAGACACACTGGGGAGAGAACACTGGCGAGTGAACGAGTGATGCGAGCAGCACGTCGAGGAGGGGTGGCTCATGAAGAGGATGGGAATTGGGTTCTGGAGATGTCGCCTGTGAAGAAGGCGTCGAATGGATTGACAGTATGGAGTTAGGCCTTGGCATCTAGGGAAGAGGAGTTATTGCTACGCTTATATGGGTGTGGTAGCGTTTTGATACCCTGGTTGATAACAGACTACCTTTTTCGAATGATTAAATTCGGTTGATACCGTAGATATTCATATTATACTACGGATAAACGTCTTTCGACATCGTAATCCATCTATCAAACGACCACAAACTTAGGGTATACTGTAGATGGTCACTCAGCTAATCCGGCATAATTCTGATCAATTCAGTAAACATCAAGATAGGCTTCATCCTATTTGGATGCGATCTACCAGCTTCCAGTTCGCTTGTGCTGATCCACTTGAAGAGTGAGTGAGTGAGTGAGTGAGTCATTGGGTAGCCATCTATCCTTGCCTCAGGCACAAGCCGAGCACAATGCCTGAGGCCAGCGGGATCACGCCCCTCGCGATGAATTAATTAATTAATTTAATCGTGAACTTGGATCTTCTTTCTTTCTTATTGCTGGGAACAACAACCCCCATTGGATGCAAGAAAGTGAACCACTCCCAGCATTATCCCTCCAAGACAGCAGCATCCAGACCAGCCCATCGCAGTGGCGTGGTCCTTGCTGCTATTTATTTGTATTCACTGCCTTTTTGTGCACCCCATTTGGGTTTCTATGCAGCACCACGTCACTGGTGGTCTCCGAGCTTCTAGTAGTTGCTGCTATACTAAATTTGGGAAAATCCCACCACCACCGAATCGCTGCGGGGATCCATCCTCTCCGCCAGCCCGTCTCTCACCGCAAAATCCCCCATCCATCCATTTGGCTCGCCATCTTTCCCTTATGCATCGTCCCTGAACTACTCGCTATTTGATTGTTTTATTCCCATTCCCACCCCCCTTCTTCTTCGCTTCTGTCACCTTAGCTAATCGTCGTGATCTTCTTCACTTTCCTCTTTTCGTCTTATCCCCCCGCCCGCCCGCCGCCCACGGGATGTTGCATGCCCTTCAGCAGCGCCTTTGGTGGTTTGGCACAAGCGCCTAGTCAGGCATTCGACCAGTGAGAGTTGCATTCCTCGATATCTCTTAAGCGCCAGACGAACATCAATCGGGTCTCGGGTCATCCGACTACACCCTTCCTTTCGTGACATTCTCTTGGGGAAGCTGACGACTACTCCTCCGTCACTGCTCTTTACTTTTTTTGATCATTACTTGAAACGAGGTAACTAGACGAAAAATATCAACCGATCGGACAGTGGGGACGAGAGCAGGAAACAAGGGGTGGAAAGGAAGAACGACAACGCTCTATTGCCGTCTTCTACCCTTCCTTTCACCCTCTTTTTCGAAACCTTTCCACCTTCTTCCACATAATGTTTCTACCGC